ATTTTTCATAAAAATGTAATACTTTAATATTATAAGAAGAAAAACAGCTAAAACTTCTGTCGTGACAGAAAAAAAAAATTTTTTTACGTTTTTCTTGAATTTTCTTGTGCAATTAGTACTCTCTAAAAGTTGATCATTTATAAAAATGTGTGGGTTGAAAACATATGAAAATGCAATTATTTTAAAGAAAAACGCATAAGTAATATCTTAAAGTGGTATTTTAAGTTTAATTAAGCTTATAATAATTATTTTTTCAGAATTATAAACTTTAAAGTGGTTTTTCTCAGTTTGTGTTTTTCGAAACCTTAGTGCATTCAAAATGCTACTCCTTCGACAATTATTTACCAATCACTTCAATTTTTTTCCTGCGTGTTAAAAATAAAGCATGTAATAAAATTAGGGATCCGTTTTGCTATAAACTGAATACTTTTTTAAAAAAAATAAAATGTAAGACATGTTGGCTTTTTCGTTGATTTTTAGCCTGTATATCAACATTTTTATTTTTTTTTTTTTTTCTCGAAAACGAATGAAGTTATTCTAAAATCGATCCCTAAAGTTGTTAAGAACATCCATAAGAATATTATAAAAAAATTTCAGGTCAAAAAATTAATTTTTACAAAAGGAGTAGGATTTTTAAAATTTTCCCCAATTTTCTTTCTTGAAAATTTAAATTTTTAAAATTGTGTGAATAATATATGAAAATTTTCATCTGGTAACATTTTCTTGAATAGAAACATTGTATAAAATGTTAAAATATAATTTTTAAATACGTAAATAAAGAAGTTTGCTCAAAGGGTGCCAAGTCCCCTTAACTTAGTATTGTTAAATTTATTGTTAAATTAAATACATTGTGCACAGTACTGATAAATTAAAAAGTCAATTATATTAGTATAAATGCTTCTATTTTTATTTTTTTTATTTTGTCAGAATGAATTTCGTTTGTTTATTTTTAATGAATTAATAATTTTTTTTAAATAATCTTTTGTTTTCGACTTTTCAATATGTTCAAGCCCCCCATCCTAGGGGTATCATGCCCCCCCCCAAGGGGGCGCGCCCAACAGATTGAGAAGCGCTGTTTTAATATGTATATATCCAAATTTACAAGAGTTTTGAAAAGTTTTCTTTGAATTAATTTGACTATTTGTAATATAATTTATTATTTGATGAGTTAATTAACTTCTAAACAACACAATAAACTCTAATAATCAAAGTATTAGATTTTAATTATCAATATCAATTTACAGAAGATTATAATGATTAAAAGAATCAAAATAAAAGCTTTTACAAAGACACAAAATTTTATTTATTTATCAAGTCTATTTTTCACCTTAACTTTTATTTTTCAATCATTAAAAATATCTAATCGTGTACTTCAAAAGTTGATTTCCCATGTTATTTATTTAATGTTAACAGATTCGTGAAACATAAAAATGTTCTCTTATTGTATGTTTTATAGATAATTTATAGTATGTCAGATGTTATATGCATAAAAGAAAATTTTGTAAAACATTTCTTTTTTCTGTTCAGTTATAAGAAAAAATTAAGGCTGGCAATGGAAAAATTTTGATTTTTTAATTTTAGAAAATAACAAACTATAATCCTAATAAATGAGTTTCTTTTTCATTAAGTTAGCAATAACACAAGAAAAATTATATTAAATCGAATAGTTATTTAATAAAAATAAATCAAAATTCTTTGAAATACCTATTCCTTTAAATTACGGTAGACAATATAGGAAGATAAATCGAGTCCCCCAAAAAATACTGTTACATGGGTCTACTCGCTATAGCAAAAAGGAAAGAGATGTACTCTTAATTATTTACAAGAATATTAGTTCTGTAACGAAAGGTTTTTCCCCTTCTCTTTCAACCCCCTCCAGTTTTTATGGTGAAATTGAAACTTTTCTTTGTTTTGCTTTCAGATAATAGTCACTAGAGAGAAGAAAGAGAAAAGAGGCTTTATTTAAGATAATATAAAGCTAATATAAAATATGGGGAAAAACATAAATTACAAAAAAGGATTTCCAAAATTTATATATTAAATGTTCAGCAATTTTATATTATAATGAGTAAGCTATATTATTTTATGTATCTCAAGGATAGATAACATGTAAATAAGAGCATTAATTTTAAAGATAATTAACAACTTACTTTGCCCTTTGTTAACAGAGGGTAAGCTAGTATTTTTAAATTATCCCTATTAGTTCACTCTATCCCTATATGTATATATCTATATATATATATATATGAAATACTTCTATAATATTTCTGGAGAGTGGTAAATATAATTGTAAGACGTGGCGAATGGATGTTATTACTGTAGCGAACCAAAGGCAGGGCGTGGCCAATGGCGAGTGAATGACTGCATATTAGATACATTTCTATTATGGTTGATGTTATGTATTCAATACTATAGATGAGGCAGTCTGGGACATTAATTCAGTTTATTGCATCTTGAAACACATAGAGTCAAGTAGGGATGGCATTACACATAACAAGAAGCAAACAGCATGGCACAAACACAGACAAAGACAAACACAGAACGCACAGCAGCCGGCTGGTTACATGATGAAGGCAAGCAGACAAAAAGAGAGACGGGATTTCCAGATACATCGGTTTTTATACCCGACGGTGAAGATTACGTGACATTTTTGTAATAAGAGCTCTGATTGGTTACAATGGGCGGGAAAGGGATTTATGATGTATAAATATTAGTCGATTACGATTAAGATCAGGGTGTTAGTTTTGAACCAAATAATTAAAAGATCATTTGAATATTATTAAAATAGTTAATTAAAAGGATGCTAGGGGAGTTATTACATTTTATATATATATATATATATATATATATATATATATATATATATATATATATATATATATATATATATATATATATATATATATATATATATATATATATATATTGCTCAAATTTTCTATCGTTAATAAAGTGGGTTTCTACAACACAAGAAAATATTTCAGTCCCCCTCAGTTTCATGTTAAACGAGTTTCACAAGTGACAGGTCTATCCGCTTTCTTTCAACTGATCCTCTTTGGAAATATTGGGTCTTTAACCCTTTATCGACCGACGGTACTTATAAGTACAACTCATTTTAAAATTACATAGAATAACCAATTTTACGATTATTCTGACAACACTCAGCAGGAATATTCTTTGAAATCTACTCTTCCAAGATATATGGCAGCACGGGTTCTATGATGAGTATTTTAGCGGGGAAGGCGAATAGTTTTATAGCAGAAATTGCGTTTTCAGCTGACGGCGTTTTCAGCGGATAGCAAAGATTATCATTTTTGTACCGAAAAAATAGTTACTGTCAAAATTTAAGTGTCTTATTTTTTGTATGTTAATAAGGACCTTAGAAAACGATCTGACTCTTTATTTTAAGTGAACAGTGTATATAATTAATTTTACAGTGCAATATCTTTAATTAATTAATTAGCTCTAACGGATTAAATTTCTCAAAGTTGAGTATGTTGTTTATGTATATCCCTTAATTTTCAATGTTGTGATCCAAAAAAAATATTGCATGAAAAAAACTGCAGTAAATCATAATGCGGTAGATAAAGGGGGTTAAAATCTATTCTATTATAAACCTTCCCCTGAAGAAGATGTGAGTATGTAAATTAAAACTTGTACATATAGATTAAACTTTCAAGATAGAGGGAGAGAGAGGTTAGACTGCTAACGGATAGCAGTAATTAATTAAACGTGAAGTGAGGCGTGAATACTCAATAGCTGATTAGTGTAATATTAAAGATTGACGATTTGTCAACTAATTAATTAAATTAGATTAGGTCTCTTGGAATTAGAAGATATATTGTTTGAGCGTAAGCGATCCAATTTACTAAGACTTCACGTATCTAATCGCTATTGCTTTCCATATTTAGTATGTGGGCGCGGTAGCCGAGTGGTATAGGTATCAGATCGTGGCTTAGCCTTGACACGAGTTCAAACCCAGTACCACTAAAGACCCGCCGTGTAGGGCAGCGATGTACGTTAAATCTGTCGAGTGCTGAAACGTCCTCCCGTTGGTGTGGTGTGGTACTTAAGAGAGGGGGGTGCCAGCTCAGGTGTCGTCCATGTCACTTGACCATGATTCAAAATTACGTGGTCCGTCGCCAAAAGCCCTCGTGTAGCTGAACAGTGCGACGTTAATATTCAATCAATCAATCAATCCATATTTAGTATATATTTAGGTGCATCTCTTAACTTGGTAAATAGAATTTGTGTTGTTGCCCATTACTGTGAACAAATAGTAGTTATTTTGAATATGACTGATCATCCTTTCGACTCTCCCGTACTAATTGAAGTCGTGGGGCTACCATTACTTTCTGTATATTTAGGTTTGTACGGTCTTGATTATACTTTTCTTTTGTACATTTGTGATTGCCTAAAAATTATTTAAAATTTCCTTTGTTCTTGGGCTTTGCTTTGAAAACACTCAAGAAATACTTTTATTTTAGTAAATATCATTTCGAACATTTTTATGTTATAAATAAATCATTAACCTTGCTTAAAATTTTCACAGTGTCTCTCGAAAGTGTTATATTCTTTTAATTTAGTAATACTGAGTATAGCTTGAAAAATCTCTCCATAAATGTCAAAAACTTGAATTCAATAATTTCATAATTGATCCCGCCAGAAAAGAGCAGATTTTTTCAATTCCTACTGTTAGTTCACACTCTTCCGATATATATTTATTTATATATATATATATATATATATATATATATATATATATATATATATATATATATATATATATATATCTTGTTCAAATTTTCAGTCGTTAATAAAATACTTTTTACTCATCCAATCAAGTTCAAATCCATTTCTTAAACTTGTAGTGGATGACACTGGATGTTAATACAGTTTTTTCAAGCATTAATTCATTAATTAAATTTAATTAGTGAATAAAAAGAAACAAACAAAAAAATAGTTCAATAGCAAATATAAAAAGATAGATCACTCGTTATGTCCCTGTAGCGCAATGGAAAGCGCATTGGACATCTAATTCTATGATAGTGGGTTCATATACCACCTGGGATGGCTTAAATTCTGAGAATGTAATTTCTTTTTACTATACTATTTAAGTAGAATAACAAAATTTCATTAATGAATAAACAGTAACAAACAAAAAATAGTCAAATACCATACATAAAAAAGTAATTGGAAAATTGCTTTTTATTTTACCACTTAACATTGTGATTCTATCAAATGTATATATATATATATATATATATATATATATATATATATATATAATTATATATTAATTGTGTAATTATTTAAAAAAAGTAATTAAAATAAAAAAAATTGTGTTGACCTAAGTAGGAATGGATTTTAAATTTTCTTATATTGCTTGTTATTATAATTTTATGTCATATTATAAATATATTACATATTAGTTAATATTATAAAAGTATTATTCTTGGCATTCCTATTTTACGACTAAAGTGTATGTATGCAGAACTTATTATTTAGAGTTCCGATGGTTTTTTATTAAGATGTCCTGACAATTTACGAACTAATAAACATCGAAATAAATTATAGTGCAAAATTGAATTCCTACTATATTATCAATATAGGAAAACATATCATCATAAACGTCATTAATATAGGACATCGATCTCCCCTTATCATCCGAGAAAACCATTAAGCACAAAATCGATCAAACGTTCAATTTAGTAACTATCACTTTAACTATAAATTATTGAGCATTTCATAGAAATTATAGTTTACCAAAACAATGCAATGATTTAAAATTCATAGAAAATTCATAATTTGAAGTTTTATCCTTCCATAACAAGTATATTACCCCCTTGGGTATAAGTTTTATTAACTATTTTTTATTTTCATCAAGGAGAAAGCAATTGAATGCCGCAATTTGTATATTGTTATACTCTGTTGCGTAAAGTTTTTATGGTGTTTAAATTAGAATGTAGAATTTTTATTTAATTTAGTTCAATAAATTAATTAAATTTTCTTGGCCCTAAAGTTTTAAAAATCAGAAATGGATTATTTCAATTAAAATCATCATTCATAATACAGTCAAATCTCGATTTAACGAATTCATCGGCACCAAAAATTTTGTCCGTCAATTCGGGTTATTCATTACATTGGGGTCCAAACAAAATACAATTTTTTTGCACTTACCTTTTGGAAATTCTATAAGCAACTGCACAAAAAATATCCATACAGTTAGAAATTACACACTCTTTATTTAGCAGCTAAAAACACTATATGTTAATTATTGCTCGCCAGTTAATTGTAAATTTCAAAATGTTGGCCAACAGATGTTTGGCAATCTGTTTGATTCCTGACTGGAAAGAATTCTTTTTTGACTTTAAATCAGTGCTGCTCAAACTTTCAATATACGCGACCCGCTATTCTATCATCATTTTCATTGCGCCTCCCTCAATATAACAATGTATTGAATTCAATAATACTATACTTTGACGCTAAAGCTACAATACGATTTGAACTTCTTATGTGCCACTGACGTATATAAACGTCTCGTTCTGCCAAATCATTAATTTTCTGAACGTATATCTACGTCTTTCCAAAGTACGATCTTTTCTGTGCAGTGCTATCCATAAAATTATTCCTAAGGCTTTGGAATGCAATAAAAGCACCTTGACAGTGTTAGCGAAGGATTTACTTATTTCGCAGGATTTGCTTATTATTTATTTCTCTTCTCCTCCCCTCCCCCACAAAAACATTAAAATACGCTCGTCGACGTAGTAAACGATGGCATCGTAAAGCGAATCGAGTAACTTTTAATCGGCATTTAAGGAATGAATTATAAACACCGTATAAAATTAACAAAATAAGTGTTAATACAAGCCCATGGGGGACACTGATAATTATCAAACTTATTTTTAACTTAATATTGTTAAACTAATAATAAAATATACATTGCACAGTACTGATACATTTATAAGTGTATTGTATCACATTCTAAATGTGTATATTCTATGTTTTATTATATCGAGAAGTATTTTGTTTGTTTACTTTCAGTAAATTAATAATTTTTTAAATAGCCTTTTGTTTTCGACTTTTCAATATGCTCGCGCCCCCCTCGTATAGTTATCACGCCCCCCCAAGGGGGACGTGCCCCACAGTTTGAGAAACACTGCTTTAAGCAGAGAAGAAACAACAGTTCCATTTACATCGTGTTGCATAAGGTATGTTTTTACAGTTTCCAAACAATATGAAGAATTAAAAAATGTAACAGTTTTGATGAGAGTTTCCTTATCAGTTTTTGCATCAGATTGATTGATTTAATATTAACGTCGCACTGTTCAGCTACACGAGGGCTTTTGGCGATGAACTACGTAATTTTGAACCATGTCAAGTGACGTGGACGACACCTGTGAGCTGGCACCCCCTCTCCTAACTACCACACCAATGGGAGGACGTTTCAGCTCTTGACAGATTTAGCGTGCATCGCTGCCCTACACGGTCGGTCTTTAGTAATACTGGGCTCAAACACGTGACAAGGCAAGCCACGGTCCGATATCTATACCACTCGGCTATCGCGGCCACAGTTTTTGCATCAGAATCACTATTTATTTAATCGCTAACAATTTCCGAAACTTCAGCTACACAGATAGACAGTCCATCAACACAAATGTAGTATAATCATTAAAATCTTAATGTATCCGACTACATTCGTAACCGTGATTTAGCAAAAGTGTACAAATTAATATTGTTTTAATATTTAGTGTCATTTAGATTAAAATACACGCATAAAATACACGTTGGCAAAAAAATGAACATAAAATTACCTATTTTCAAAATATTCTGCTTTTACGAAAATTGCTTCTATAATAATAAAATTGTGTCTCTATATAAACCTCAGAACTCTCTTCTCTTATACAGAGTCTGAACTAGGATTTTTGAAAAATATAACTTAGAAGTGGATTTATCCATATTAATAATACATTAGAGTGAAAAAATGTTAACAAAAAAAATACGGATTATTATTTTAATTGGTTGTAACTCTGAAAATAATGAGAATTTTTTAAAGTTATTAGTTTAAGCTCTCTGGAGAAGTTTTAGCTATATATTGGCAAAATTTTGTTTTCTGGAAGCAATTTTCGTAAAAGGAGAATGTTCTAAAAATAGGTAATTCTATGCTCATTTTTTGGCAAAATATCGCATTTAAACAAATTTTGTTGTACTAATATCCTTAAAACAATTTTATACGCACATTCTAATCTAAGTGGTACTAAATATTGAAAAAAAATATTCGTTTGTACGCTTTTGAAAAATCACGGTTCCAAACGTAGTCGGATACCTTAAGATATCCCTTTGCTTTGTAGAGTGGGATGAAATAAGAAAGGAGTTTCCTGTCCTATTCAAAACTCACACAATAAGTTACTCATGATTCATCTGGACCTGAAATGTCTAATAATGCTGTTCACCTTTTGGCGTCGAAATTAACTTCTTGGAAGAAAAACTGTTTTTTTTTCTTTTCCGGACAAAAAGGATGTTATTTTTTAAAAAATCAATTTTTTCGAACAAGAATTCATAAAAAAAAATTTTCAGCTCTTGAAATAATTTGTTAAGGATTTTTTCATTTATTTTAATCGGGGAAAGAGAAAAATTCATAAAATCACGAGATTCGTTAAATAAGGGTTCCATAAAACGGGGTTCGAATCTAATTAGGAGGTTTTTTATTGAAACAATACTCTGTTTTCAAGTTTATTTGTATTTTAGCGAACATAATTTGTTTTTGCCAATGTAACTGATATTTAGAGTAGAAAAATGGTATCAAAAATATAATAAAATCTAAACATAGTGGAAGCTCTTTTTTACATTTGCAGTCAATGGCGTAACGAAGAATATTAGAGGCATCCTGCAAAATCAGATTTTGGGCCCCAAGCCGGATATTACAAAGGATTGCGAAACCATAAACCATCCCCTCCCCGTGTAGGGGGGAGGGTACATTACTTCGCTGCTTGTAGTCAAATCAAATATTTTTTCTTTTAATGTGACAAAAATCAGTTCTCACAATTATTACTTTTACAAATGGTTTAAAAAATTAATTTTGTTAAACGAAAATAATAATTGTCTACAATCAAATCATTATTAATAAAAACGTTTCATTTTTATGCTAAATATTATTTAGAATAGTAATCATCTACAATCGAATCATTATTAATAAAATATTTCATTTTTTGTAATTATTATTATTTAAAATAACAATCGTCTATAGTCGAATCATTATTAATAAAATGTTTCAGTTAGTTCAAATAGTTAATATCATTTAAATGCTTTACAGACAAAAAATATGTACACATTTTATCTAAAAATGAAACGCTTTTAAGAGAATCCAAGTTACTATTATAATGTTCGAAATCTTTAATTCATTCAAAATATACTCTAAAATGATCCTAAGATCATTTTGTTAAGAATTTGTATCCTCAAACTACATACCCCCCAAATTGTTTGACCTTTTTAAGTAAAAAGGATATTGTTAAGTAGATCACGCGCGATTCAAGGATTTTATGCTCTCAGCCTCAAAGAGCAAAACAGTTCTTCAGGAACGATGGAAATTTATTGTAGAAAAACAATCCTTTATACAGGATACCGCACTAAAATTTGCTTAATAAATCCCAGACGGTATTCACACCTTCTACAACGCTCAGACACAACTATCAGTGTCTAAAAATGCAAATACGTAATGTTTAAGAATATTCTCAAACACTCGCTCGATAGTAGCAATTAATCGCAAGTCGACTCTTCAATGGTCGAACCAATACTGACTCGACTTCAGCCAGTGGCTCGAATTTTATCTCGAAAGATCCGCGTACGTCATAGATCGTGATATTAATAGATTTATCCAGTAATTTCCAGAAGAATCCATTTGGTCGTCAACTCATCAAATGGTCTCCAACATAGTCGCCAAGTCACCAAAATGGTCACCAACCTGGCTCTATCACCAACATTTTGCCAAGTTACCATTAAATCACCATTATATTGGAAGAAACAGCATTGCTATATATATATATAGTGAATATTACAATTTTAACAAAATAAAT